AGAGTTTTTAAATGACACTCACTCGAAGCGTCTTTGGGATGATGAAACTGGATTTGTCGGAGCGAACCCATAGCTGGCCTTATTTGAGCTATTTTCAGTCTACCCTCTGGTGAACTAACATAACAATGGAACATCACCATTTTTAATGTGAAAATTCACTATAAATGGCCATTTTCAATAGCTATGTTAAATTACCAGAGGGTAGTCGCTAATTGTAATTGATCCATATTTTTATTATTGATGATGATGATGATGATGATGATGACCAAACCTCTATACTATATCAGTACATATATCATCACCTGTTTACCTATTGTAGTCGGGTATAATGTAGCCAAACATATGCTGTGTTATGACATATTACAAGCAACGATAACTGCAACCATGCGCTATAAACAACTACAAATAACCAACACAACTACATGGGGGAGTTCTCAAACATGAGTGCCCCAAACCAATGGTTTTCCCATTGAACATAAGCAATAGCTTGGATGATTTTGGGGTCTCCCATTTTAGGAAATCCCCAATATATAACCCACTGGATAGCTGGTCTTGAAACACACAAACTGGTTGGTTTTGTTGGTGGTTTGGAACATTTTTTATTTTCCATAATGTATATGGGATAATCCTTCCCATTGACTTTCATATTTTTCAAGATGGTTAAAACCACCAACCAGTTTGGATTGAAATCACCATTGTTAATGGGTAAATCCACTATTTCTATGGCCATTTTCAATAGCAAACTATTTCTTTGGTTCTTCTGTTTTTTTCCAGGTTCTTCAAAGTGATCCTTTTGATATGGTATGATGTCACCCTTACCCTTGTTGGGGTTACCTGACCTCGAATTAAGGTGGTTCCTAAGGTCACTGACTAAAGAATCAGGCTTTGGATTAAAACAAAAATCTCACAACAGATCATGTTTGTGACATTGTGTTTCGGATTATGACCTCAACCCCATGTGATTGTGTTTGTTTGTTTGTTTGTTTGTTTGTTTGTTTGTGTGTTTGTTTGTTTGTTTGTTTGTTTGTTTGTTTGTTTGTTTGTTTGTTTTTGATATACTTAGTTGTTTCAACCGTACAGGGGGATGCCTGTCCATTAAATACTAGCCTGGCTCATTGGCGGGAATCACGGCTTGGGGTTACATTGGGGATATCTGACAATATGGCTGTGACTCAATATGGGGAAACCCAAAAAAGGATGGCAAAGTTCATGATTAAAAAATATGATTTTATAAACAATTATATTTTGAAGGTGCACTATGTTTCAACGGACCAATGCTTTTGCACATGTATTTGACCCAAGTTCTTCCCACAATCTATTGTGGTTTAAATGCACCTCATTGCTCCATGTGCAACGCAAATTGCCCCCCCCCCGGCCGCGTGGGTGAACAGAGTGCATGCATGGGGGATGTACATTTACCAAAAAACACCCCATCAACCACCATATACCTGGCCAAAAATTAAGGGCTATACTCTCCGGTAAAGCCATTTGGTATGAACTTTTTATCCGTTTTTATTATGTTTACATCTTGTATTCTGTGATTGGTTACATCCGCTAAGCATTACAATCCATGTTTCTTTAGCAGAGATTACATTCTCGTAGATCCTCGTAGTAGTTGTTTCACCTGAATCATGGACGGTCAATAGATCCCCACGTTGCATGAATCCCGCATGTTCCACTCATCACCGCATGCGACATATATTCTACACATATATAATGCCATGTTACTGCATGGTCATACCCCATTGGCAGGGTGTGTATATTAGATATCAGCAACCAAACACTAGTCACTAGTGGCGGTCGCTGTTCCATTCCCCACATGTTGGTGCTTTGGGGGATCTGGCAAAACTGGTGATTGGAAGAACATGGAAAACACATCTCCTTCTGGTGCTTTCAAACATGTTTTTTTTGTTTTTTTCCCGTCATATTGGGAATGTCATCATCCCAACTGACTAGGTCAACCACCAACCAGCCTCCACCAACCAGCCTTTGTTTTGTTGGTGACCTCTGGTGACTGAGGGAAGGCTTACCATGATGGCCAGCGCCAAGTGCATCCGGTGCGCCGGAGTGGTAAGTCCCCGAAGTTCAATGGGAGATCTCCAGGATCCTCAATTGGAGGTACGTTAGTACCATATTTTTGGCCATATTTTGGGGCATATCTCCTCACATAGGCCTGAAAAATAGGCCTCAAAAAATGGTAGGTAGTAGGTACCTCCAATTTAGGTTTCAAAACTGGCCATTCATAAGTGGGGGTATAACTGGTATAACTAGTTACTAACCAGCTATGAGTCGTTGGATGATCCTCCAAGTAGCCATTTTGGCCATTTTTATCAGCTAAAGATAACTGTTTGGTGGTTTGGAACATGGCTTTTATGGGATAATGATGGTTAATGATGATAAATAATGGTTAATAATCACTGTTTGGTGGTTTGGAACCATGGAATTTTATGAGTTCCCATCATAGTTGGGAATGTCATCATCCCAACTGACTATATCATATGTTTCAGAGGGGTAGGCGAAAAACCACCAACCAGATAATGTTAGTTGCACAACCATCACACATTTCTAAGCTGTAATCTAGTTGGGGGAGAATCTAGGGCCCAGTGAAGCCGAACACATGCCTTGTCTCATGCTTCGTCAGCCTAGGACTATAGGTTGTTCCTTGTCTATATGGTGGTGGTTTGCATCCGTACCTACCAGGGTTCGAACTCTCAAATTTGAAAGGCTATGCCGCTATTCTTCATATGTTTTTTTTTCATTGGTTTACATCCAAGCCGCGTATGTCTCAGCAAGTGAAAGCAACAATGGGTGGAAGAAATAGTTATTATGTTTTTTCACGACAGCCGCGGATCATTTGTCACATGCCCAGCACACTGTAAGCTGGACTTATCCATTCCAGAGTTGAATGAAGGAAACATCCACAAAAAATCACAACATGTGCTCCCCCCCAGTAGATTTATCTATTGAATCTATTATTATATATTATTATTATTAGTAGTAGTAGTAGTATTATTATTACTATTATTATTATCCACTGTAAATCCGTTGGTTATTCAACAGTTGCAACGTGATAGCGACTGAAAACGTGATGCCCCAATTAATAAGTTGGTTCTTACCCATCTAATTGTGATTAGTTCATCACCCTAACCCCAGTTCCTCGAGTTCTGTTCACCAACTTAGCTAACTTTTGGGGGCAGCACCGACCGAACGTACAATTCCTGGAATTATGACCGCTAGTTATTCGAAGCTTCAGCGTCTCAGGACCTACTTCGGCTGCAACATCCTGCCTGCAGTGGAGACATCCTGCAGGTCAGGGGATAATTGGCTCCGGTCGGTTTTCCTTAGAATCTCAGGGTGAAACAGCATCAGACAGCTGTCAGTCGGGCCTTTGGGACCCAATGGGATGCTCGTTTTCCGAGATATGGTCGGGCCTTTGACCCCCACAGTTGTATCATGAGTACCGCATGGGTTGTTTTGTCAAGGGAACCTGTTTGGAACCCTAACTGGGGCAACAAAAATAGCAGGTTGGGGACCACCGCCTCTTGTCCCACGGGCCATTGGGCGGTGTACCTAGGTACCACTTTCATCATAGTTGACCTAGGCCCTAGGCAAATAGACCAACCTAGCTGGGGGGGCAAAGCTTCTATATTCCTAGACCTTCCAACTAGCCGGAAAAAGTAGTAAAAGTCTAGTTCATTGGGTGAAACAATGTAAAACACTATTTTTAAGGGTAAAAAGAGAGGGTCAAACGGTTCATGTTTTCCATATGTTGAAGAACCAGTGAGTAAATCCCATTCAGTCATCATAGACCCAAACGTTACTCCCTGACTTCAAAGAGGCCTGTAGCATCGCGCTGAACTTGGCCTTGGAAGCCCGTCGCGCGGAGCTACAATGCCCTCCGCGGTAAAACGTGTTACGTCTCTGTGGGATTTTGCAAATTTGAAATTGGAATATCATGGGATAATGAGGACATAGCATGGGGATAGAAGTTTGGAAATCTTGTTTCACCCAACAACCAACCATTATTATTGGGATTTGTTCATGGTATATAAACAGAACTTAAACTTGACGTGAAAACGTTGGGTGATTTCACGAAGATTTCACATGGTGGATCCAAGGACGGATTTCGTGGAGAAATGATGTGAGGGGAGACATGATCAAAAACTGATTTGTGAACACTGGAGATCTTACCAAATACCCTAAATGGTAATTCAACTTCGCGAAAATCACCATTTAGACTGGGTAGGTCATTGTAAGTCACGAATCACAGATCATCCCCCAAAAAAACGGCCATTTTCCATAGCCATGTTTAATAATCAGAAGAACGATCTGAACGATGTTCAACAAGACCATAAGGACCCGGACCCAGCAAAGTGGATTTATAACCCCTGAGGATCAATAGCAGGAACGTTTGTCAATTACTTCAAGTTGTTTAGTTATTGAATATCAATAATCACATTCTTATGACTCAATACAAGTGAGGTATTAAAAAAAAACAGTGAGGTATGTTTGTAAACAAAAATGATATGTCACGATATGTCAATTAAACAACTGAATGTTATGATTACCTGATCTGGTTGGTGGTTTGGAACATTTTATATTTTTCTCATCATATTGGGAATGTCATCATCCCAACTGACGAATTCATATTTTTCAGAGGGGTAGGCTCAACCACCAACCAGTGATATTATAAAAGTGATATTCATTACCTCATCGGAATCCAATCCTGGGGGCCCTCGGATGGGCACTTCATGGTAGTTGTTGCAACGGGGAATGTTCATATACTAAGAATATCTAAGAATCTAAAAACTTATGATTATATAGAGCATTCAAGTGCTGCTTTGAATGTTATGTTTGTTGTTAAAATCCCTGTGTTTGCTGGTTGCACAGTATTTGATTGTTCTTTAATGTTGTTTATAGTTGTGTGCAACGTGTCCAAGATTGGCCCTTTGATCTCCGACATGATGCCCCTGTGATCTGCTGTGTTTCTTTCACAGCAGGCGTTGTTCTCGGAGAAGCCTGAGCTGGAGTTGATGATCAATCAGAATCTCGTTGATGGCTAACCCTTGGCAAAGGTAGCTGAGTGGGTCATTCCATGCCGGAATATATGATTCATAATATGATCCAGCTTGTGACTGTTTTGTTTGCTGGGTAATTGTACAAGATGAGGCTCGATGGTTTCATTGTTCTGGGCAAAAGAAAACATAACTCATGAAAGAAACTGGTCCCAGTACAAATTATATGGTTGATGTGGGGGGAAGTCATCAACAAGTCGACACGCTTGTTGAAGGTTTTTGAGGTACTGAAAAAGTTGCCCTGATAGTCCCTTGGTGGTTGGGAATCGTTTCTACTGTTGCATCTCTGCGACTTGAAAGTGGAATCCCCGCAAGGTTACACTTCTCTCCCAGTAGACTTAACTCATTATCTGCCACATCCTTTCACAGCTGACTCCCCCTAGCTATAAGTTTGGTTTATTACCCATCTAATCCAATTATAATCACTACGAACCCCGTACTTGCAACTCTAGTTTACAAAAAAAAAATGCAGGCGGGCGCCTTCCAGGAAGTGAACACAGTCACGGACGATCCATTTCTGGGTGGTCTACCCGCAGCAGCTGGCTGCCTCTTTGTTTTTTTTTCCATAACTGTTGTGATTTGTTTCTCTTATCTTCGCTTTCATGTGGCTATGAGTCAAAACCCTGGTACCCTCTACCCTCTGGTAATTTAATATAGCTGTTGAACATGGCTGTTTATAGCTGATTTACCTAGTCAAAATGATGATTTTCGATAGCTATGTTAGTTCCCTGTTAGTTTACCGGAGGGTAGGTACTTTAAAATACCCGGTCAATATGCTAATTTCATATAGATCTTGACCCATCCCCATGTGCTTCGCAACATCAGGAAAGAATACATCCGACTGCAGGCGCCGGGGCGACAACACTTGGCAGTGAACTAAACCAAGAGGGTACCCCAAAAATAGACATGTCGATGTTTACCATGTGGGGGTTCCATGAATGGGGATACCCCAATAGCTGGATGGTGACTTCATGGAAAATCCGAAAACGAATGATTTAGGGGTACGCTTACTCTAGAAAAAACCTTCGTGTTTTTTGGCACCCAATACTACAAACATCTAGAAACCATCACTTAAATCTGGATGAATCATACCCTCTGGTAATTTAACATAGCTATTGAAAATTGCCATTTATAGTTGATTTACCCACTAAAAATTGTGATTTTCCATAGTTATGTTAAATTACCAGAGGGGAATCCCGGGGCTGGCCGCTGGCCGAGGTTTTACATCATGGGAAAGACATCGAACTAAAAAAAGTGGATTTCTTGATGTCTGTCAGTCTGTCGGTATTGCCAATCTGGATTCATTTCACCATAGTCACAAATGGTTGCATATCCCACCTTCTGGGGGTTAAAGTTCTATAGTTTGCTATATTAATGGCATGTGCCCTCCGCGCCTAAGTAGGCCTACTAAGTATAGGGTATGAATCCGCAAAAAAAAAGAATATACCCTCTGGTAAACTAACATAGCTATGGAAAATCACCATTGTTAATGGGAAAATCCACTATAAATGGTCATTTTCAATAGCTATGTTAAATTACCAGAGGGTATTGGATGGTTGCCTCCAGAATTTCAGATGGAATGTGTCAGGGCAGCTCCTCTAAAAAGCGTGGGAAATTGTGCTTGGTCAACATGGGTCAACTGAGACGGCTCGCAACCTGTCGTCGATGTCGAATCATTGCACCGAAGTCTTGAACGAACTTGTGGACGGCTTGGAAATCAGATGGCGGCCTGGCGGCCATGGGCAAAAAAAAATAGTGTTACAGTCCTGTCTTGATTTACGGAAGGCAGCAGTGTTTTGACAAACACCGGAGGGTAGTATGGAGCATATGGAGTAATGCTTGAGGGAATACACAAAAAGTAAACAACATATCACACCGCTGAAATCAGGCATTGGAACCCCAAACATGGCCCACGTCAATAAATTGCTTTCCCCATGCCCTAGTTGTTTGTTTATGTTTGTTTTCAGAGGGCTACTTGGGGGTGTAGGTCCGCTTAATGCCTGCCATAGATTAGAGGGATTACATTCCAACTTACGGTGATTGTTGAACCATGGCTATACCGTTCCACCTGTTGACAATCCCAACTGCACCTGAAGTTTTGATTCATGACGGCCATGAAGTCTGGGCAGTCGTAAAGGCATAGAAATCAGATCTAGAAACTTAATCACCTCAATCTGGTTGGTGGTTTCATTTACCTTGCAGTAAATGTTTGCATAGATATGGAAAACGTATGGCTTCAGCAGGAATTACCTAGAAGTGTCGGGTTTTTCATATATATATATATGTGAATTTACTGGAAGGTATTTTTGGCTTCAAACATGATGGACTCGAATCCCAGCTGGGATGGTGAGTCCAACCAGCCGAACACTCTCCGCTTGTTGTTTGGCGAGTGTTTTTTATTGATATGTGCGGCCTTTCCATAGCAACCTGGGATGATTGGGGCCGCAGTTGATCGGAGAGTTTTTGTCTTCCAGGGTTTCCCTTTGCTGTGCTATGGGATGCTCATGCTCGGCTGAGCACCCCAAATATCAGGAATCCCAGCAGAAATATAGATGATTATGTTTCACCAGGGTTGCAAAAGTAGTTGCGTATCATGCGATCACGAGGTTTTTTTGGTGCACTTCTGTCTCATTTTATTGAAATACAATCATATGATATACAGTATAGATCGACAAATGGGTACACATGATTGGGTAGATTCCATTAGATTCCCATATCTTGGAGGTATCCCCTCACATAGACCATACATAGACCTTATATATGGCATAGGTACTTCCAATTCAGGTTCATTGTTTGCCGTTCCGGTTGGCCGTTCTGGCACGCTCCAGGAGCTGTTTAAAAAGGAACGGCTGAGTGGTTTGGAACGGCAAGTGGTTTGGGCGTCCCAGACATGGCCGGTCGGGCCGGTCGACCTGACAAAGTACCGCCCTTGCACTTTGTACCTAACTACAGCAAGCAAACCAAAAAACATGGGGATGTCTATATATATATATATATCTGGTTAATACATGGTTATTATATGTTTAATGACGACAAATCATAAACTGGTTGGTGGTGACTTAACCATCTTGAAAAATATGAGTTCGTCGATGGGAAGGATGACAACCCATATGTGAAATGGAAGATAAAATATGTTCCAAACCACCAACCAGTAAACATAGGGATAATTTACAGAAAGACCATGTACATACAGGCATTATCCAAGTTTAACACCCAATTCATGTACAATCTGCAAGACCAACTCAGGAAGGCCATGGGAATTTGCAAATTCAAATTGCTTTCCTCTCCCGTTTAACGGTGGTTTCACTGCCTCACATCCAATCAAACACGGCTGGAAAACTCATGGAAAACCCACCAATTTAGTTGGGAGGTTTTTCCCAGCGAACCAAACCCCCATTTTTAGTTTGGGTACCCTCTGGTAATTTAACATAGCTATGGAAAATCACCATTTTTAATGGGTAAATCCACTATAAATGACCATTTTCAATAGCTATGTAAACGTTTACCAGAGGGTATTTTGTCCAGCGACTTGACGAGATGTTCATTGCTGGTCAGTTGATGATGGATGATTGTTCTCTTAAAATGGCATTTAAGGCATTTACGCTTACACAAACGAATGGCTTACCCCACAGTAAACAAACATGGCTCTTGGCATTTCCCATCTTTAAGGCGAACATGACCAGACCACCAGGTGCAGTTTCACACAAGGTTTGCATACTGGAAGGAATATCCAGCTTTGTACCCACTTATAGACCTAACCAAAGTGACATTACAAGGTTAGAGACACATTCATTGGCAGTCTTGGGCAATTCCTTTTCCCATATTAAATCCCTTCCTAGAAACCCTGGGGTATTTTTGGATCTTGTCATTTTGGGACCTTACAGTACCTTACACGATATTGCTAATGGTGGATGATTCACTATGATTCACGAATTATGAATGCGTTTCGTCGCAACGAGATTCGTCAAAATTCCCTCCGCGTTTCACCGGCGAGGCCAATTTTACCCAGAAGTTGGAAGAGATCACGTCGCTGGTGCCCAGATCATCCCAAAAAGTTTTTCGACGAAAAAATCCATGGGTCCCCCAGCTATGTGTGCTGGTTTATACTCATCCCTGAAACTAGTTTCATATATATATATAATTATATACACATAAAGTCATATATATATATATTATATAAATATACGTATATATAATTAAACAATAAACATCCATAAATCATAGAATGCACTTAGTTCCAATCCGTTCCCTGTGAAACTTGGGCTACTTGGGCTCCAAGGAATCAGGTGACCTTGTTGGAAGCCGAAAACGAGAAACTTGCCAAGAGACACGCCAAGGAGGCCGGTTGCGCAAGTGTGATCTACAGTTACTACACCCCGATGGGGTGATTTTTTGGGTGTCTGAAAATAGTAGGAATAGTAGGGTATACCTCCCCCCCCCAGCAAATTCCATCAATTTCCTGCCACTAAGGCATTGAACTTAGTATTGCTGAAAAAAAGCATCATGTTCTCCGTGAAACGGAGAGTTAAAGTGGGTATCTCCCATTTTCAGACACACCTATATTTATACATATATGATACATTAGAGATTGAAGCATGACTTATAAGGGATTTATGGTTGTTTTAGTATCAAATATATGAAAATTCTCTATGTATGGGGTTTAACCTGGATTTTATTCAATAAACAATGGGCATATACGGATATATAATTTGATAAATGATGACTGGTTCATGATTAGTTCGGGGATTTTACCACGCTTCATCTATTGGACATACTCACAATCTATGATAGGGATCCCGTTAACCAACCAGTACAATTGAATGACAGGGTTTTTTCAATAATCGGTTTGACTAGATATGCAACCAAGAAATTATCGGGATATCATTCTGTTTATAATGTTTGGAGTAAACAAAATACATTTAGGTGTATTTACTGCCATTGAAAAATGATACATATTTGCATATTTGATCAGCCCCTGGATTACTCGCCAATTTTCAGTCTAAGCCATATGCCAATATGATAATCAGTGAGGTTGGGAATTCAGCGTGGATCATCCAGATCTTGTCACAACATCACTAGTTGATGACCAAACAGGATCACCTAGTGATTATCATATTGGTAGTGATTACTATAAAGCCACTGAGACTGGATCCATACTAGTAATGTTATCAACTAGTTGTGATTATCAACTTGATAGACTTTGCAACCAGCTGTGATTCTCTTGTTGGATCCATTACCTTTTGCGACCAGTCTCCAGTCGGTAGATAACGTTAGGAAAGGGGGTGAGTTGATGGAGCTTGGAATTCCTGGGCAAAAAATGGCCACGATGCGGAAAATGCTGACATGGGCTGAAAGCCAAAAGACTCGGATAGAGTGAACATGACTATTTTATATATTATAATATTATTATATTATACTATACTATATTATATTATATTATACTATACTATATTATATTATATTATATTATATGTCTCTAGTAGATTCAGTTTCTCAAATATGTGTCAGACCAAACAGATCCGAAAAGGAGTGTCCTGGGCATCTTCCTCGAAATCCAGTGTTCTTGGTATCGTATCCTACCATCATACTTGCTGGTTTCTGAAACCTTTACATGGCTTACCAGAGTGGGTTACGGTGTAGTATCTCTATCACAAGCTAGCTAGGTTTTTTGAGATGATAAGAGTTTTTTGATCTCCAGATAGCTACATTTATACATGATGTTTGATTTTTGATAGTTTTTTGATCTCCAGACAGATCTTTGTTTGATTTGTTGTTGGGCACCGAAAAATTGGTTGGTTCCTGATTTTTTGTCCATTGCCAACGTGGATTAGCTCATCCCATGTTGTATACTGTATAATATTATATACATACACACTATTCCCTAATTCCTATGGTCATCCACATGATCAGCCGTGCAGTTCACGGCTCCCAGCTTTTGATCGCCTCGCAGATGCGACGCACCTCGTCGACCAGCAGCCCGGGAACCAGCAGTCGGACACTGCAGGACTGAGTTGTGGCCCCTTTTTTCTGTGAAGAAAAAGGGACCATTTACCAAGAAGAACGGGAAGTTAACCAAGAAAATATGAGGAATTATGTTTGCAATTGATGTGATTTATCAAGTTTATCATGGGTGAGTTTTCACAGAACTATTCTGACTGAGGTTTATTTCAGTGGATATGTCATGATGTTTCTGTCCTTGGGTGAACCAATTCACCAATTCACCAATTCACCAATTCATGACCGTCTCATGTGACCTGAGCTGCGAGTATATCTCCACCGGCGGTTCTAACAGAGATATATCCCCTGTTTTGGCCATTGTTACTCTATATCCATGATCAAAATTTCTTTAAGTGCCATAAACATCCCCATGTTACTGTTATTACTGCACTTCACTAAACCATACTAAACCCACAAATATCCTACGAATGCTATAGTTTTTACCCAATGCGATAAACCATCCCCAAACTCAGCATTATTTGAAAATGGGTGCTAGGTTTACGGAAATTTTCGAGGATCCCAAGGTAATCCCACATTCTATAAATCACATAATTACCCAACCTGGTTATGACTAACATAGCCATGGTATAGATGGCCCATAGAAATAGATGGTTTACAATGGTTTACCTGGGTTTACCTATTAAAAGTGGTGATTTTCCATGGCTATGCGGCTATGTTAAATAACCAGATGGTAATATAATTCATCACTAACCCACAGTCGACATCCTTTGACCACGTGCACCAAATCGTCGAAAACGAGACACAAAAATTTCTGCAGGATCATAGGAGACCTTCAGGAGCAGCGACGTCACCGACGCAGCGGCCCCAGCAACTGTGGCGGGTAATACAAGGTGGTGCCCCAGTTCGTTAGCTAAGTTGGTGCAAATAACTCCCATAACTATGGTTTATGGCAGATATAACTATAGTATTCATGGAGTTTATAAACCAATTTATAACTGGGGGGCACCATCCTGTAAAAATGGTGATGAAACGGTTGAAGGATCATTGGACACTAAATCCATGTTTTACTTCGGTAAGAAAAAACATGTTTATATATGTTAAAATATCATCGGCCATGGCTTCCGGAGCTATGTTAAAGAACCAGAGTTTTTTTTTCTCCAGTAAGCTGACATATAACTATGGAAAATGGTCATGTTTAATAGGTAAATCATCGAACTAAATGGACGATCTTCTTACCTATGTTAGTTTACCAGAGGCGACCATCTAAAGAAAACACCCCAGAAAACATGTGTTTTTTTTTCAGGGAATTTTGAGACGTTTGGGACCATGAGGTTGTTTAATATTTGGGGGATGGGAAAAACAATTGGGATCCATAAACCTCCCTGAAGATGTTTACAAACCAGCTATATGGCAATCTTGGGTTTTCTTATGTTGGCAACGAAAATTTCGCTTCTCCTTTGGGGGAATCAGGCGGACCCAACATGTGTGCAGGTATCCTCTGGTAAACGTTTACAAAAAACGAACTGGAACATCACCATGCTATCAATGGGTAAATCCACGAACTTTCTATGGCTATGTTCAATAGCGAAGTGTAACAAATTACCAGAGGGATAGAGGGTATATCATGGTATATGATCTTTTAATTTAATTTACCTCCATGCAGACCATTTGTGACTGGTTGTAATCATTCAACCAACATGCACGTGATATCATCTATTAGGGTTTGATAGCCATTACTCACTTATAGCAACCCCCAACAAGAATAGAAATCCAATCCAACACATGTGGTAAATTCGGGTAAATTAAATCTTGTTCGGCATATTTGGGGTTTCTACAACCAACATACTGATGGATATTTAACCCGCCCCAAAAAATGGATGACACATTACAAAGCTAAAAGTGACGGGGAGTTTGTGTTGATGTACTGCGAGATATCATCTGAACTCTACAAATTTGTTACTTGAGTTTATAATAACTACACTAGCTCTAGCTCTAAGATTTATGGTCAAAATTTTGCTTATGTATAATTCATATGATCTATCAATTGGTGAACATACACCAACTTTAAAGTAGGGGACTTGTTGTACAAGATTCAATCATCGGGATGAGTATACATAACCCATGTATAATTCATAACTATATACATACATATGTATCATATGTATATATTACATAATATTATACATGGGTTCTAAACATCCATTAAGCCATATACATATAGTATACATAACGTATAACCCATGTATATATCATACAGTAACGCCATTTGAATATGTGGAGGGCGGGCCAGACCGCGAGGCCCCGGGGGTAGCATGAAATACCAGTTCGTATATTTAAATGTAGTTACCGTATGTTTAAATGAATTGGATTCCGTATGTTTAGACGGCCCGGCGGGGCAAAGAAAACCTTTCCGGAGGTAGTCTAAAATACCTGTTCGTATATTTACATGTCCGTAAATTTGAATGTAGTTACCGTATGTATAATACTTATTCTGTTTATAATTATGTGTACATTTATATATAATATATATATATACTGTATGTTTCGTAAACATCCATTAAACCATCGAGTTCACTATCCCAGGCAACGAGGCTCCGGAGAGTCTTCGGCACCTTCGGCACTGTGAATTCAGAGGTCAACACGGTCAACACGGTCAACACGTGGCAACAAAACTACGGAGAGTCTACGGTTGGAATCCCCGCTTGGAAAATGATGGTTTAATAGGGATTTGAAGGGTTATACATGGGTTATACATGAATAGTTGATATATAATTACTTGGCGGATCATCCCACGGTTTCTTTTCTGGTTAGGAACCATAGCTATAAGTAGGGTAAGTATGGGTAAGTACAGTTATAACTGGGTGAACTCAGCCATTTACGATTCCTGGGCTGAGCCCACTTTTCGATCAAAAAATCCTTTCGGGCTGCGCGTGATGCTCATCCGTTCATGGAGAACCATGGGATCTGGGGCCCCTGGGGCTGTCCAATTTGAAAAAGCAAATCCTCTGGTAATTCGAAACCTCAATCATAGATAGAACACATAGAACACATGGAAAACTGGAAATTATGGGAAAAGTTTCATCTGAATTTCTTCAGATGTCCTAAAACGAGGGGTACCCCGTTGCATCATCCAAGACATCCAAGTCATTCGCCAATTTTCATCTTGAAAGTTAGGCTTGTCTTGTCGCGATTCCACCATTTGACCTCCAGATCCTAGAGAAACACACGCAGCCTGGTTGGTTTCAATGTCTCTGATCATGTCACCTATAAGGACAATTTGCCCATCTGAAATAGATGATGTTTCTTAACCAAAATCCATAGACTACATGTTTTTTTCAATGTCCATAGCTATGTTGAAGTACCAGAGGGTCAACGGCTACAAGCTCCCACCTCAAGTTTGGTTTCTCACATGGCTTCAGACCGGTCGATTGGTGGGGGTTTCTGACATGTGCATAGCCATTTCAAGCCATTTCCAGGCTGGGAGTTAGGAAAACAAAAAGAGGTTGGCTTACCCTCCGGCATGAAAAATGGTGGAATCGATTCGAAAATAATTTGCAATAGTAAACGTTGCAATGGAAATTCCACTATAAATGGAGGTTTTTAAAGGGAAGATCGTCGAAGTAAATGGCGGATTTGCCATTGCCAGTGCTCTGCTGGTTCCTTTGTCATTGGTCAGCCGTGGAGTCTGCTGATCCACCCGTGTAGGTAGAGACCTCTGTAGCTCATAGATACCCAGTAGGCACTCTCATCTACATGACAAACTCGTGGACGTTCATATTATGTTCGATTCATATACTTGGGATGAAGAAACCATTTGACGATGATCTTTTCAAAAATGCTCTCTAGTAACCCAGCAAAACACAATCCATTGAAATCCATGGTTGTTTCCTGGAACTAGGCTATATGCTGAATGTTGAACACCTTTGATAATTTGATGATTTACGTACTATATCATATTTATTAAGAGTCAGTAGCATTGTGATTTCCATAGCCATATGGCCATATGATAAATTAGCAGAGGCTATCTATGTTAGTCTGAGCGTATTTTTCGGTGGCTCACCCAGCAGAAAACCAACTCCAACAACCCGGCTGCCCAGGCGCGACAAGTCGCCACCCCTGTGGGAAAACCCAAAGCTGGTCGCCCGAAGAGGCAGCATGTTCGACGATTTTCAGCGCAGGATGTCACTGTGCCAGATTTAGGGGAATCATAACCAACCACAGGGAATTTTTGGGGGTCTATACTGGGTAAATTTCATCACGACCTCACTGTTCTCCCGAACCCTGGAATCATGTTTTTTTAAGAGGAATCATCCCCAAATAACCCAACATTTCAGGTGAGTGAAATAGTGAAATAGTATAATTTACTCAGAATCTATAGCCTGATACTGACGTTCGATCTTTAAGGTGTCTTTGAAGATGTCGAGGACCAATGGCCCCAATCCAACGTTTTTTCTCAATACCATGGCGAATCTGATGGTGACTCTGCAGTTTTCTTTGAAAGGAGTCAACTCGATGTGATGATTCTCTTTGCATCTGTTTGCCACACCATGCCACAATACATCATTATACAATATTACATATATTACACACATATAAGAATAGTAATACTAATAGCTCTAATAATAACAATGATAATCATGATAATGATTGATAATAATATTGATCATAATAATAACAATAAATAATAATGATCAAAAATAATAGTGATAATAATAACACTAACAATATTTTTTTTAATATAATATAAAATAATATAATATATAAAATAATATCATATTATATTATATTATATCATATCATATTATATTGTATTATATTATATCATATTATATCATATCATATCATATTATATTAAAATTTATTATATTATATTATATTTTATTATATTATATATACATTCCATATCATGACAATGATCTTGGATGGATTGATTGGGCCATGACCTATCCTGGAACATGATTTCTTCACGCTTTAAGCTGGTGAATCCCTTCCTTGCAGAAAGTCCCTAAAATGAATCGATCCAATGCTTCTGAGGGCTTGATATGCTTGTATATACATAGGTACATATATATCTGGGTAAATTTCATCACGATCTCACTGTTCTCCCTCACCCTGGAATCATGGTGAATGTTAGGGAAATCATCCCCAAATGGCCTTACTATTCAGGTTAGTGAAATATTATAATTTACCCAGATATATATATATATATATAAATGGATAAATAAACAAACACGCATACACATCTTTGTTCAAATTGGGGAAGGTCTTGCCATGGACGAACTCTTGGCAGACCACCAACTGCAGGGGATATGAACAGGCCATGCGTACGTGACAGGTCAACACCCAGTCCGCCCGATGGATCCAGCCGTACAGAGTGCTTAGGGCATGATCTCGGGTAGTCTTAGAGAGTTCTACAGGATGGTGCCCCCCAGTTATAAGTTGGTTTATAAACCCCATTAACTATAGTTCTATCTGCCATAAACCATAGTTATGGGAGCTATAAACCAACTTAGCTAACGAACTGGGGCACCACCTTGTAGGATCATTTCACGATTCCATTTCGATAGGGGTATCATACAAATCAGTACAAATCATCCAACAGATTATTCGTTGGTATTGCCAATGATGTTTGATCCCTTTACAATCTATGGACGATCGCCATCGCCAGGGGCGTCAAATATTCTCGGCCAGGTCGGGAGGCAGGACCCAGGTGAGTTTTAAGCAAAACAAAAACGAATGAGGATTGGGTTGTAGTCAGAATCCCTCTAATATGAAACAGCCCATAAATGGTCCCGAGTCCCAACAATGCTTTTATCCCCCTACTAAACATGCCTAAACCATGTTTTTTTAGGGGGTGTTTAATTGATATTAGAGGAAGGGATCAAATGTAATTGCAATTGCAGATAGACACCTCAGCTGCTCAGCTATGTTGGATTTTAAGCAGCACAACGTGGCATATTCAAGCAGCAAATGAGAATTCAATAAGATCTCAGCAGCGTCGCACTTGACATCATTCAATCGACAAAAAAAAACCAAGGTGCTCCAAACCATCATAGGTTAATTAGTCATGTTTTCTCTATATTTCCCCAATTTACCCTTGTACCTCGGGTGTGTGGAGCAACCCTGATCCGAAATTGGCAAAGAGGGTGGATTGACCAGCGAGAATCCCTGATTTTCGGTAAACGTTCTCATAAAAATTGCCATTCAAAGCTCTATTTGGTGATGGAACATCTCTGATTTATACAATTTATATTCAATTTTCTCATTAAACCTCACTATCTATCGATTTAGTTGGCTGGATTTCACAGCCAGCCATGATTCCCGGAGATCTTGGGCGCCAGGCTGGTGACTCCAGCGATGCCTGACCAGGTTGCCGGGAATTTCCAAGCTGTGGAAAGTCTTGCGCTGCAGGTGTTCAACTGTTTTCTCAATGGATTGGTTGAAGGGAAAATCTACAGGAAACCATGGTTTTTACCATCAAATATAAGGTTTTCCTGTACATTTTCCCATCATCCAATTCTATGATTTTCTGATCTGGTTAACAACCACTAATGAAAAATAGGGCACTGGATAAACCATAGGAACTCACGAGGCGACCTCACTGACTGATGGCTAGTAGAGAGACGCATCCCAAAAATACAAAAATATTACTGGTTGGTGGTTTGGAACATTTTTTTGTTTTTCCATCTATTGGGAATAATAATCCCATCTGACTTTCATATTTTTCAGAGGGGTAGGTATACCACCAACCAGTGATGATTGTTCGGCATTTTTTCGACTCAAGGTCAATATGTTCCATGGTCAAGATTCAATACTTTGTATGGATTGAGGAAAAGGGGCATCTGAGGAGATAGTTATTATATATTATCATTGAATGCGTCGTACTTGTGATGAAAGTGACTGGCTCTGAAAGTAGTTGATTCTAAGAGTAGCAAACAGAACATAAGAATCTGTGGTGTTCCGGCTTCCCACAAGGAGGCATGGTTGTTCTCTATGGATGTTGCAATATCTGTGATGCTTTACGCCTGACAAGAAACAAACTGGTCTTCGGAAAGCCAGCTGTTAGGGATTCTGTGATGATTCCCTTATAATTCCAGATAGAGCAGTGAAGCACTCCACAATTCTGGTGCTGCTTTACATCATCAAAAAACTACCAGGTGAACAATTTTCATTAAAAACATGTGGAAAATCCACCGTGAATGTAGATCATGAATTCCGAAATGATGGGTTTTCAATATCTTTTTGTAGCTTTCTCCTAGGCTCCAGACTTTGGATCAGCGCCCTAGGGTGTCCTCAGGTGGGTCACACTCCGCACCTGTGAGCCCTGTGACCCCGCCGTCGCAAAGCGCCGTGCCTTGCACGGCTCCGGATACCCCAAAATGGCCATTTTCATGGGGTTCACCATGGGATCTGATGGATCTGGGGCTATCCAATTTTCAGTCAAATCCATGTAGAAATCCATGTAGAAACTTGAACATAGATATAATGAAGCTGGAAAGCTGGAAAATATGGGATAAATTTCATCTCTATGGATGTCTCCTAAAATGGGGGTACCCCCGGTACCATCATCCAAGTCATTACACCATTTTCGTATTGAAAGCAATGGTTTTTGGAATCCCACATTTCAAGAAACCACCATTTACATCATTTTACATCCACCTTAAGTTGATATTGCCCAGCATCCCATGTTTGATTGCCAGACCTACACCTGCTTCACTGATGGATGGAAAACTCAGCTTAGAGGTGACAACAAAATTCCCAAAATTCCAAACTACATATGATGATTGGAATGGGATTTCACTCCGAAGTGCGGATTCATGATATATATATATATATGTATAAATGGTTAAAAGGCCATATAAAGCCCCTATAGTATTTACAATCCCCTTGATGACTGCGTCCAAGAAGCTGGATTTTACATGCCATGGTCAAGTTTAATGGATTAACCCAGTCCTTGGTGGATGAACTTTTCCCAAAAAAAATATGATCGTCAATGGCCATGGTTCTTTAAATTAGAAGGTATCCAGAATGACACTTCTTTGGGTCAACTTTGGATGTATACAAATAGGTACTTCAAGTACTTCCTAACTTCAGTGTTTTGCTATACACTGACCAGCTAAAAGAAGCAGGGTTCTGCAATGGTTTTCACCACTAGACACCAAGCATTTCGAGGCTAATGTTTTTGGGGATGTCTCAGACCGAAAAACCGACGGCGGAACGTTCGTCGCATGTCTCACCCGATGGCCAGTGTTTTAAAACTGCCAGGGGCAGCCTTCGGATTCCGGGTCACGTTTTGCTGATGAGTACCTGGACGCTCCATTGGCCAACCAAAATGGATATGTTATTTATTGTAAGTGTGTAGAGAGATATTTATATTATTAATCACACTGGGTATATCTCATAACTACAAAAAACTGTAATCTCATTATGCTCATACTACTTAATCTCATACTTATCTATATATATATAATTTCATGTACGCAGTATTGTAATTATATATCTTACCTATCCTAGCTATCAATAATAACAGGGTATATCATCCCTGTGATCCAGTTGTGGCTTCTAAGGAAGGATGGATCCACAAGGATGTTTTAGAAAATAATCCTGATGATAATTGTAATACATTAGAATTTATAATCATTATCTCAAAAAGAGAATACATCTGTATAATCATCTAATTGAGAATACCAGACCATCTAGTGTGTCTATGTATATATATATATACATTATATCCTGCTATACTATGCTACACTAGACTATCCTATCCTACTCTATGCTATACTATGGGTCTACCATACCATACCATACGAATACTATTCTATACTATACTATATGATACTATACTAGACTATCATCCACTAATTGTCACCCAATGAACACCTAATTGAGTAAAATTGTATATATATATACAGGATGGTGCCCCCCAGTTATAAGTTGGTTTATAAACCCCATTAACTATAGTTCTATCTGCCATAAACCATAGTTATGGGAGTTATAAACCAACTTAGCTAACGAACTGGGGCACCACCTTGTAGTACAATGTACACTTTTAGTGTATACAAACATCACGGCGTGAAGGCCCATCTTCCGATGGCTTTTTTTGTTTAACAGAAACCAGGGCCCCCTGTCGCTTGCGGCGGCCAAGCCGCGCTTGCGGGTGTGGTGACCTGCCCAAGATCAGGGATATGGAGACTATGGAGATCAAAACATGACACCCTCGTGGATTTTATGAAACGACTGCAGTTATGGCCATAAAAATCAGTTATAACTGGTTATTTCTATGGGATTATACATTCTATAAATGGGGTTTTCTTAGTACTTATAACTGGTATTTTGGGCCATAACTGTGGATGTGATGAACAAGAAATCAGGATTTGATCATCTAAAATGTAAAATAAATAATTTGTTTGGCGTTCTGACCAAGAACATTGGGATTTAATGAGAACAGTTTGGTGATAACACCACCAAAGATGGAGTATAAATGACCCGCATGAAAGATCATCAGTCCATTTGAGGTTCCTTTGGTTTCATTGTTGATCCATAACCAAACAATACCACATATATACGCAAAACCATTGGCAGACCAAAAAAATGGGGGCATTGGCAGTGACCAACATGATATGGCCCTAATGAGGAATAAACATGTGTATGCGAAACTACAAACGATGCTGAACCGTGCTTCCTGGAACAAGTTCTACTATACAGTGATGATTATAAGTTCCGCGACGGAATGCAAGCTGTAGAACCTATCATATTCGTTTGTGCCATTGCTGATTCGTGGTTCCAATCCCTCTCCAACAATGTTAGTCCAACTGAGACAAGTATGTGATGTTTGGACCACAGACAAATTTTCCTGTTGGTTAGATTCTAATGTGTGTGCTGTTTTATTGTCCCAATTGCGCATAATTGGACCATTGTGATCGTCTTTTTCTCAATACATTTGATGCATGTTCTACATACCTTTAGGATGAATAGGTTCTGAATCTTAGTGTTTTATTGTTCTGCTGCTCTGATCACAGATGTGATACCCTCTGGATCCCTCTGGTAATTTAACATAGCTATTGAAAATGACCATTTATAGTGGATTTACCCATTAAAAATGGTGATTTTCCATAGCTATGTTAGTTCACCAGAGGGTATAATTTTGCTTTGCAACAAGAAACCGCTGGTGTTGAACCACGAACAAACAGCATGTCTTGAAACCAAGTCTGGACCGACATCCGAAATTGATGACTCCAAGCCCTGGCGATGTTTTTTTTCAGATCAATCCCCGTGTCGTGGCGACCCATGTGCGCCAGGGAGGGATGAGAAGATCCCGGTGATCATTGGAACCCCCACTAAATTCAGGCTTTCTTTATTCTACAAGCATGAAACGAAACGAAACGAAACCAATGTGAAAGCAAAATAAAACAATATAAAACATATTAATTGATTGGTTGGTGATTTGGATTTTTTTTTATTTTTCCATATATTGGGAACAATAATCCCATTTGACTAATATTCTTCAGAGGGGTACCACCAACCAGGTTATATAACCCATGATGTTAATGATGTTCCAATAGCTTTGCTCCGTGTGGTTCCGAGAAATGGGATGAGTTGGTACTTGCCCTCGAAAATCATCCGGCTAGAGATCCTCCTGGCTATAAACCCAGGAGATTCCCCAGTTAAAACCACCCAGTTAGCTGGTTCCAATCCAGCTCAGCAGTTGCAGATAATATATCTACTATAAACCTACGTTGTTGGAGTTGTAAATCAACTTAGCTAACTATGGGGGGTTATGACCCATGCCTACCCCAGGAAATGCAGCTTCCTATACATCTCAAGGAACCGGACCGCCGGACCGTCAGCATGATCCCGTCCGAGATCTCCGAGTCACTGGATTTTTCATGTTTTTCTTGTAGGGAAATCGTCCCCGAATAGATGTTTACCCAAAACAAAGTGGTTGATGGTTGATTTTCGGGTTGTTCTAGCCTATTGAAAAGCGATCATTACAATCCACTATTGAAATAGCTAATAAACTAGTAAAACCCAGTCGCAACTTTTTTTTGCACACTGCTCAAAAGGCTTTATTTCAGGTTGATGACGATTTATCCAAACCTACAAAGCGACCAACGCCTCGATTTGGCGCATGATCTCAAATAGTGTTAATGTTCATATTAATAAGCATGTCCGAATCAATCAACACCCACACGGCAAAAACCTTCTGGCAATGCTATTTTGGATTGGTCCCCCCCTGTAAACAACACCCTGCTCAGAAATCTTTTTTTGGTGGTGAGAAAGTGATTTGGTCCTGATGTTTCTGACCTTATGGTGCTGGTGCTGGCTTGAAAGGGATGCAAGATACACATGGTCCAGGAAAGGAGATTGCGCAGAGTCAATGCAGGAGATGCTGTATAATTATGTCAATATTATATATATATATATATATTGAAGAGATTCAAGGCACAGAATCCCCAAAATCTAGGAAAATCCAAAAAGTTCTGATTGAAAACAATGCATGTTCCTTATTATGTCCTGATATTAAAAAAAATGCATTTTTGAGAAGCTCACAAAGGGTACCCCTTAGGTGGGTTGCCCCCCCCAAATAATGTGCATGTGCACCCCCAATTAAAACGACCGTCAGCCCTGGCCATAAATTGATGTCAAAGGAACATCAATTGAAAGTAACTTATATTAATTTTAATTGAAGTCCTTGCATATCCTTTTAGATGTAAAATGACAATTGTGTTGAAAATAATTTGATTTAATTGATATCCTTATTTATCCTTTAGAATTAAAAGGACAAACAATTGAAAACAACTTGATTTCAAGTGAAAATCTCACTGAAAATCTAATGAATCCCAGTTTTGGTTTTGCTGGTCATTATTTTGGGGTGACAACCTTCTCATGGATCTAGACCCTCTGGGGGGGGGGGGGGGGTTTTAAAAATAAGAACTTAACATTGGGTCCTGGTCAACGGTCAAAACCTTCAAAATGATTTAAATAGATGGTTGAATGATGGGTCATATTGATGGCTCAAATAGTAATGTCTTTTTCATGCTTACTGTCTCCCCATATGATTCGATACGTCAGAGAGCCCAAGGGTGGGCTCCTCTTTCTCGCTGGGCCATGCTGTAGCAATGCCTTGGCAGCGATCTTGCAAAAAGACTGTGCGGAACAAACCTGTCAGGTCCTTTATGTTCTTTGTCTAACTGATTAGATATGCATAGATATGCAACATTATGCAACAAACATCAAACGACACAATCGTATAGGGTTTGTCTTCCAGTACGTTTCGAACCTCCCAATTACAAAGGTTAGTTGACTATCTCCATGCGAAACATTCAGTCGCTTTGAGGTTGAAAGATGGCCCCCTTTTGGGGGTTCACCAGTCACCAGGTATGCTTCCCCGCAAGCACCGCTGCATGCCCGTCAGAATGCAATT